TTCATCTTTAATTTTTTCTGTGAAGGAATAAACATATTCACACATTTGAATACAGAAACTGTTCTTTTGCTTCAAACAGGTTGATGAGAGACCCTGTGACCACAGGATGTGATGTAAACTGTAAAACCTTGTTTTCCTAGTTAGGTTTCCTGAAGAGCAGTGGTCTTCTGGAGCCTGGTGGGATGTGGGCCAGACTGCAGGTTCCTCTTGGACTTGGGCAGCTGTGGGAGGGGTGTTCAGAGTCCTGCTGGAAGCAATTGTAATATGTCATCAGATGCTTTTTGATTCCTGGCAGCAGTAAGCAAATGAAAAACAGTCACTGGTCTCATGAGGGTGTGGAACTTCATCTTTTTTCCATAGTTTCCCTTCAGACTTCCACCAACCAGCTGCAATGGGACTTGGTTTCTCCTGTTTTGTTTTTCTTTTTTAAAATTTTGTAATATGGTGAGATATAGTCTGATTTCTGTCTAAGTATTATCCACCTTTTAATTAATTAAAGGAATTATTTTATTTATATCTGGCCCTGCCCTGAAGAACAATGTATTTGCGTACATGTCTCACTGGTTAAGGACCTGCATGGAGAAGACTGACAGGAAGGCTGTGAAGTTATTTCTTGTTTTTATCTGTCTTGTACTGGCCTATACAAGTTAATTTCTCTCAAACATTTATATGTGGATTAGGAGATAATAAAGTATTGCTTTTTTAAAAAATAGGTTGCCTGTTTAAATATTTTATCTAGGATTTCACTCTTTCTGTTTGAAAAGCTGTAGGTTTGATATGCATTTTGTTGGTAGCAGTGCAGTCTTAAAGCACTTTTACTTATTTTGTTTACCTTCCACTCTTTTACTTATGCTACTGCGGTTGTTTATGGAGGGGCTACACAGAGAACTTCGATGAGAGGTTGATCCAGTTAAAAAGAATCCTTTTTTTATCTGGATTTTAATAACTCAAATCAGTTCTGCATCCAGTTGGCTGTAGGACTTTACAAGTTATTGTATCAGTGAAAATAAAAGGCAATGTTAGGGAGTGTATCTGAATCAACAGTGCTATGAAACTATCACAAAAATTGTCCCTTTTAATTTTTAAGTTATAAGGTCCCAACTGGAATCTGCTGTGAGTGAGGTTACTTTGACTGTTTAGTGTGTTTTTTTTCTACTCTCTCACTTTCTGGAAGCTCCTATCAAAAAGATTTTCATTTGCAAGCGTATCTTCTTTGTATCTTCTGTTTATAAAACACAAATTTGGAGTCGGTAACAGGGTCTCAAACGCTTGATAAGCGTTTTAGTGGTGAAAAAGACCTGGACCCAGATGTGGCAGCTGTGCATTTCTAGAGTCAGCCTAAGATGGCCATTTTTATGGGTACAGCTGCTTGTTACATGGGACAGGTGAGTTTATCTGACCCGGGGTTTATGAAGTGTCAAAGTGTGATGCTCTAACCTGACGTCTTTTTGGCTGCAGCGCAGGCTGCAGCATCCTTAAAAACGGAGAAGGCGGCTTGGTTGTGAACTTGCTCTGAAGTGGCCAGAGAACAGAGCATGTGAAGTGTTGGGGATCTGTTTCCATCTGCTGCTTCAAAGAGACTATACATCAGTTATTTGGGTTCATACAGCAGGTCTGTGAGAGAGGTAGAATTTTCTTCATTGGTTGGTTTTTTTTTTTGTTTGTTTGTTTGGTTTTTTTTTCTTGATTGCTTAAAAAAAGGTCAAAAAGTCTTCAACATGCTTGTTCATCTCCGTTACATAAAAAGGTACCTACAGATACATTTTTGCCTTCTGAGTTGCTGATCAGTAGAATACTGTGGCTTGTACATTTTTCTACACTATAATTGAAATGTTGCTCAGCATTAGTGCATATAAGTAGCAGAATACATGATATAAACTTGACAGTTTTCTTAAATTGCATAAGCATGTTAAAATGGAAAGAGGTATTTGAGCCATCTAGTGGTTGGTATGAAGCATTTTATCATTTTCTGGTAGTTTGTTGAAAATGTAAATGACATCAGCTTGGAAATAACATTTCTAATTTCTCCACTTTCTAACAGCATGGTTGTAAAATGAAAAACCCCAGACATAGAAATTGAGATTTGAAATATGGTCTGTTTCGGTTTGTGACTTTCTTTTTTTCAATTTACAATAGATTTTAGTGAAAAGAGAGATATGGCAGCATTATAATTACATTAAAAATTAGTAGCCAAACAATGAGTTTGTTATCATGAGAAGCTCAGAAATTGTGAGGGTTGGTAAAATGTTCAAGGAAAGGATTATAATAAGATAATTTTGTTTTCTACTTATTAATGAAAAATGTTTTGAGGGAGAAATGTGGGCTTGTATTCGTCAGCTATTTATAGCAGGATACTGAATATCAGGGATTACAGAAGTATTCTTTACTGGAAAACATGGGGTATATACTTTTTGTGATAAATTTGTTCAAACAGAATCATCAAAGGCAAACGAAAACAGATTTCTTAAGGTGGGGTGTGTTGCTGGTAAACAGAGTGAGAGAGTCTTAACAGTGTTTGTAGAAGAAAATTTCATGTAATGATCTTGCTTGATCCTGGTAGGTATTAATCTGTTCTAGCTTTTCATATTTGCTGTGGCTAATAGGAACTTGACTGAGCATTGAACTTGATGGTGCTCTGCAGTATAGGCAGGAAAGTTAGCTGCTAAAGTAATGAGTGAACTTCATGTGCATGTGGCCCTGAATTGTTTTGGGAAAATACTGCATATGTTGAAACAGTGTAATGTCTTCCAGTCCTTGTGACAGTCCTGCCCAGGATCAAACACAGATTAGAAGATATCCATATTAAGACAAATTTAATAAACAATCAACAAACAGTTCTAATCGTGTTACTTATGGTTAGAGCTGTAGTGCTTCAGAATAGATGAAAATCTACGATACTGACACTGCAGAATTTGGATATTTACACTTGAAGTAAAGTATTAGAGCCTCAATACTTGCCTTGTTTGGTGGTGGTGTTTGTGGGTTTTTTTGGGTTTTTTTTTTAGGCCAATCTCAAATGCTTTGTAAGGCCAAATGAGGGTGAGAGGAAAGGGGAGAACCAGTCGCAGAACAAAAGAGAGCAGTAACAATTGATTCGTATTTTATGATTTTACGTGGGTGGGGACAACCTGAAAGCTTCATGTGAACTTGATATATTAATTACATTTGTACCTGCATATTTGTCTTATTGTACCTTGAATGTTGATTATTATTAACTCTTAGGACTACAGTATAGGCTGGATGAATATTCTGAATCTAATTTATTTGGACTGTTTATTCTAATAAGTTTCAGAAAAAAAGAAATTAAATTCTTTGAAAATTGAAGATGTTTTAGTTATCAGGCATACTTTGGCTTGAATTTTGAAGTGTGGTGATGAAGGGCTTTTGTTACACTATTACTGCGAATCTTTATGATGATCTAGTCTTAATTGAAGTTGATGAGGTCACACTAAGCAGTTTTGTTAAGTTCTGCTCTATAAATGAGCCTGACCTGAACACAAAAAAGGTTACTAGGTGTGCACTGTACATTTTAGGCTTCTGTGTTGCACATGTGAAAAACCTCTCTATCTTACTTCTTACTTTAAAGTTACTTCTAAATCAAGGCATTATGTATGTTCTGGTTTTGAGCTTGCCTTCTTTCCTAGTCTCTTCTTGCACACTTGGAAAGTAGGAGATATATGGAGTACAGAATTAGGGATCTTTCTTTCTGTTTTTGTTCCATTAAACAGTGTGGTTTTATGGTAGTATTAAGGTGTCATCTTCTATTTTTTATGTACTTACCCTTCCACTCCCCTTATTAACATCTTCCAGTGCACTGATTGCTGTAGTTTCTTGTCATGCCACAGCGTTTTCTTGGAAGCTGTCCATAGCTGAAGCTAAGATGCAACTGTATCCATGAAAGGATCTTTGTCATTTCCCCTGGTTTTAATTTGCATTTAGAAGATGCAAATGAGGTATAATGAAATGGTAATGTTTGGTCCCGTTTTGGATGAATTGTGGTCTGGTTACTAGTTATTTTCTACAGGAAATCTAGTTATACCTTTTATATTTGGATTTGGTTTAAAGCATAACTAGGATTCATTTCATGGAATTCCATAGAAATATAGAAATGTGACTTGTTGAAGAAGTGCGTACAAGTAGAAGAGTGATGAACTTGAACAACAGCCTTTGACAATGAAAATTCCATCTGGAATTTTCCATGTGTCAGCTTTGTGTTCTTTGGGATGTATTCTTGGTCTCTCAAAACCAGAACTACACATAAGAAAAGCCTAAAATGTGTCACAGGCAACATGTAACACGTTATCTCCTGTAAATAATGCACAAGCTCTGCTAAATAGGAAATGACTGTGCTATGGCATAACTTTTATTTTTTTTAAAGTAATTTGTTTATTTTTCCTAATTTAGGAAATATGTAATAATTATTTGTAGAACTGGATTGTTAAACATTCATTAATCCTCTGTAGAAGCAAATCATACTTTTCTGTGAAAAGAAAATGCAGGGGGAAATGGGTTTTAGAAAGCATATTTTCAGATTCATATAATTAATGTTCTACTTTAGACACTGAAATTAGAGTGTGTAGCTTTGTTTACTTTTATGTGAATATAAATTATTATGACTATTGACTGGTGTTTGGTCATAAACCATTTTTTATTACATTAAATTGCCAAAGACCTCCACTCTGTCATTTCCTTCCCTGCTGTTAATACAAGTAGAACAAAGCACATCAGTTACTCTCATGTAAAAGTGCTTGAATATTATTGTCACTATTCCTCAAAAAATACTTTGCAGAGAATAACTTTTTTCTTTTTTTCTTTATTTTTAAAATGTCTACTTATCTTTTCATTCCTCCTTTTTGTTTCTTCCTGTTCAAGGTGAAATTTAAATATGCTTATCTTATAGTGGAAATAAAATGTCAAAGGATGAATAAAATATGAAAACTAAATCTTACAGCATATAATTGCCTTTTCTAAGTTTTAAACATTGTTTCTTTCCTTTACAGAATGCTGCCTTTTTATACGGCCTTGGTTTGGTCTACTTCCATTACAATGCCTTTCAATGGTAAGTTGGAATAAAATAACAGTATTGTGCGGTGTTTTATCAGTGGGTGAGTATTTCAGCTTCAGAGTGAGTGTACAATAATTTATTTTTTTTTTATTATAGATAATAAGTGGGCCTTGGTGTCACGTCTGACTTACAGAGTAATGTACCTGTGGCAACCACAGCAGTTGCTAGAAAACGCTTAAAGGAGAATTTTAGCTCCTTGTAATATAATTCAGCAAGGGGGATAGAGCTGTGTGACTCAGCAGGTTTTTGTAATTTATCACTAACCTGTAGCTTTTCTGTTTGAAAGCCTTGTTTACAAAAAGTTTTACTTTTCTCTTGGAAAAGAAGTGGCAAAGTGGGCTTGTTTTCATTTGGCTTGGTATTCAGTAATTCTTACATAGGTGTATAATGTAAAAGTTTTGGGTGTGGGAAGTAGTACATTCAGACTTGAATCAGCATGTTTAAAACTGAGGTAAACCCTCAGAGTTGTAAATTCTGGCAGGGCTTTCGGGACTGAGAGTGGCTGCTGCTGAATGTGGGAGGCAGGGTTAGTTTTCAGTTGGGGTTTTGGTTTTGGTTTATCAGTGATGAGAGAAGAGTGATGCATGGAATAGGCCCAGTCCCTGGGATTCTATTGAAACGTCCCCAGACTTTCATTTCGGTTTATTCTTGTAGAAGTTTAGTGTCATTGGAAGAAAGTCAGGAAGGTGGAGTGTTTAGCTCAGTGGTTTTTTACATGCAGTATGTAAACTGTTAATAACCTGTGACTTTACTCCTTGTTTGATTACTGAGAAGTTTATCATCTTGCTGGACTAAGCATGACTGCAGTTTAGGAGACAGGAAGTTATGATTTTGGAACATTGAAGTAGGAATTCTTCCCACTCCCCCAGTGAATTGTTTCTATGTATCTGTAAGACAAAAGATTTGTACTTTCCTCAGGATAAAGTAGATAAGCCTTCATTCTTCAAATTAAGATAAGTTGGTTAAATCATGAGCTCAGGACTTGGATTGATTTTGTTTGTTTGTTTTTGTTCTTACAACTCATTCCTTCCTTTATTGCTAGTGGTGAAATGAATGTCATGCATTGTATGTGGCATGCAATTCTATTGCATTCTAATTAACAAGAGAAGAACAGGGAAGTTTTCAGTACACCTGGGAGTCCACTATTTTAAGATTGTCATCAGTTTTGGTTGAATTTCACCATGTTACAGAACATTCTTATGCTTCTTATCCTGCTATTTAGCATCTTCCAATGGATGGAGCAGCAAAGTCAGGTGATTGTGAGGCATAAGTGTTCATAAATTAGAGCTTTCAATTAATGTAGAATTTTCTTCCATGTCTTTAAGTAGGCTTGTTGAGAACATGTATGCCTTAACTTATGTCTTAATTGCATATCAAGCTTCATGCTAAGGTTGTGTAGAAGAATTATGTTTTTCATTTCATCATAAAAGAAATGGTGTGGTTTGAAGTAAGTTGTGTATCATTAGAGTATTGGGTAGAATTTTTAGAGGAAGAAAATCTAATGAAGATAAAATCCTAGACCTTTATGTATGATTTTTATTTTCTTAAAATGCCTTCAAATGCTTTTTCCTCTGCCTTCACTACATTTTCTTGGGGGCAAGAAGAGTGGGATGTGTGGTTGTGGGTGTTTAGGTGTGACAAAATCATAATAAACTTGGAGATGATATAAAATAGTTTACAGTAGATACATTCTTCTTTGTAGATGGTAAGCCTCCATAGGACTCCAGTGCAGAATGCAAAGAGAATCTTGCTTCTTTAAAAGTGAAATGTTAGTAAAACTATCTTATTTCTGGCTGCAGCTGTTAAATGAATCTGTGTATTTCAGGCAGGCGGAGAAGACTTCTAGGTCATTTAAGTTGGTTGATGCTATCATGCTTCATCCATTAACTTTTTTTTTTTATCCACACCACTTTAGACATTCATAGATTTTGATGAGAGGCGTGTACACTGTCCTCTTAAAAGGAAAGGGTGAGGAAGTGCTTGGAGTGTTTTTCATGTCTCATATAAACAGGGATAATAAAAAAGCAAGTGGCAATAAGGTCAGCTTTAGAATTCTTGTTTGTGTTTTTACATTATTTTTTAAATTTTCTAACTTTCATAGAAATGAATGTTGGTTTTGCTTTAAGGCACATACACAATTCACTGTAATTCAGTAGTGTACACTTCTCTATATACTAAAACAGCATTGCAGCATTACTTTAAGTAAAAATCTTAGCTGACATATCATGTTATATTGGTGATTTTGTTCAGCTATTCAGGTAAGAACTGAAAGTTCACAACACATATACAAACATTGCAATCGTCTGATCAGAACAAAACTATTTCATGCAGTTACTATACTAGGATAAGCCATAAGGGATTAACTCCATCAATTGATCAAATAGAGTAAAATGATCTCCAGGTGGATCAGTAGCTTGTGCTGTTGTGGAGGACACTCAGCATTTGATGAAGTAGTCCAGTGGCTGCAGTTTGCATGGGAGGCTCTATGATGGTAAAATTGACCCAACTGCCAGTGACATTGCACTGATAATTGACAGTGTGTAGAGTTCCTGCTTTGGAAACACCTGCGACGGAAAGTCCAGAAGGGATAGAATTTGAGTGCAGAAAACCAACTTGTTTACCAGTAACTTGTGATCTTCATGGTGCACATCTGTATTGGTGATTCTTTCTCTGTTTTCCTGGAGTCCCTTCACCTGCTGTGGTGTTCGTAGTTACCTTCTTAAGGAGGGCAGAATTTGTGCATGCACTGTGTAGATACTGCTTTGTCAAGTATTTCTCAGGTTTCAGGTGGCTGGGTCTATATATGTAGTTTTTAGGTATAAAAAAGGGGAAGGTATGTGTAGACTACATTTACTAATTGTAATTATCCATTGACAAAATGGCAATTAACTTTCTCTTTTCATGTGTTACCTTTGTGTGATTGTGACTGTTACCATTCAACTGTTACAGCCCTTTGGACAGAGGAGTTCTATCTAAAGACTATAAAAGTATTTAATAAAATCACAGTGTACTGATTTCTGCTGCATGTGTATATTTTGTTTATATTCAAGCTGCGAGTTTCAGATAGAAATTTTGCCATCATAGATTCACATCAACTGCATTTGTGAGGCTATGAAATGTTGTGAGGCTCAGAATAGGTAGTCAGAAAATTGAAAGAGAATAAAGAATAAGAAAGCTTCACTCCAGCTGCATCTTGTATTTTTCCTGATATTTTACAATAATATTATGTTGTTTTATGATGCAAGCTCATTCTGATTTTCGTGGGGTTTTTTTGTTTGAAACTTACGAGTGTTGGCTCCTGAATAGTTAAATTGATGCTATTTTTTTATATTCTTTTGCCTTGTTCAAAGCAGATTTTATTCACAATCTATCCAAGTAAAACCTTCCAATAAAAGTCTTATGAGAGCTTGCTAAATTTTTAATATAATTTTCTATTATTATTCAGTTGGTTTCTCCACTTTCATAATCATAGGCATTGTTGTATAGATGAGTGGGTGGAAAGATAGCTACAGTATTGATTTTGGAAGTCTTGATTTGGAAGTGATAGATTTATGTCAGTTCTATTTTTCCTGAATTATTTTAACAGCGCTGTATAAAATGTAACCCAGAGTTGTTTTTCGTCCTCTGTAGCATCTGTTTTCTAGTCCTGCTTTGCCATTTTGTTGAATGTTAGAAAGCCTGTTCTGACTGTTAGTGAAAACACTCCCATTGTTGGAGAAAAGTCTTATTTAATTCAAATAAAAATTCTGGTAGACTCAGCCAACGTTATTTCTTACAAGACAGTTGTCAGTATCTTCAGAGAACAAACCAAAAGTCATCTATTGCTGAATTTAGACAACTGTCATTTATTTCTGCTGTAGGAGAGCTGCCAGCCCTTCATCTGGTCACTTATCCTTTGGACTAATATATGTTTAGTCTGCTGAAGGATTAAAATGAAAAGTTCTGTCTGTGCATGAGGGGCCGTTAATTAGTGGTGCAGAGTAACAGCCTGCTTGAGGAAGGCTGTGTGCCATCATCTCTGAAGGAAGTTGTTAGCTTCTTAAGCAAAGTCCTGCTTTATGTGACAGATCATCAAGCTATTTGGTAATATTTGCTCTTTCAGTTCTGGTCAAACCATGGAAGACCTTTGAGGGGAAACATTTGGGTAACTTGTATGCCTGGGATCTTCTAGACCCATATCTTTCTGGTTGTAGGCCTGGGCAGAGGGCAGAAATGCAACTAGTGACATTTCAGAGCAAAGAAAGAATTGCACAAGGATCAAGTGACTCCTGCTGTATCCAGAAGTCCCAGCCTGGGCAAACAGATGAGCCAGGAAGGACTGCAGTTACCAACATTGTGTCATGTTCTCTCTCATTTCCCTTTGCTACTACATACTTGCCCCTGCTTTCCACTTCTCATGTCCACTTCCTCTGCGTTGTACCAACCTATGCCAAGCCCTGATACCGTCTGTGGTGGGTGTTACTGAGCACTCACAACTGAAATGGATGCCAGTGATGTTGCAGATATTTTGCTGTTGATGTAGTAAGGCACTGAGTCTGGAGCTCTGGGCATGGCACTGGCAAACACGCAGTCCCAAAATAAAACTGAAGTTTTTACTGTAGTCCATGTTCTTGATGTGTCCTGTAATATTGAATGCATTGCTCTTTTGTGTAAATGCTTCCCATAGGCAAAAGTAGATCAATGTGAATTCAGCTACAGTGTAGAATTGCTTGTCTCTCTGTAAGGGTTGCTAAGCAAATGTCTTTCCAGAGTTTGAGTTTTCATTCTATGGAGATTCTACTGACTATTTAGAATCAGACTATAGTTAACAAAATGGGCATGAGCACCTGCCACTGATAGACATTTTTGAAAATGCAGCCTTTCAGATTAGTTATTTGTGAAATTTTGGTAATGCCCTTTTTCACAGAAGTAGTGGATGTAATTTTGATTTGTTATTAGTGATGTTTGTCATCCGGGAAAAACACAAATTGCATAATCAGTACAGAATTAACGGTAGAGTTAAGTCAGATGCAGGACAGTATTTTGAATGGAGAAGATACCTGACTTTTCCTTGGAAAAGCTGCTTTGGGGAATATTTGGTATATTCTTACACCATTTTCCTCCCTTAATTTACTGATGTAATAACGCTCATTGTAAGTTTAAATTTGTTACCTTTCAGAATTCTTTTTCAGTTGTTGCTATGGCATCCAAGGTTATAGAATTTAAGATACAAGCAAGACACTGACCCAGGAATTTCCTAGCATCTTAAGTGTGTATGGATTCATTCTTAAATGTAAATCCATTCACATATTAGAAACTGAAAGAAAATTTCCCTTTGGAGAGTCTGTCACCAGCGTCTCTACCAGTGTGTCCATTCCATTGACAAATCACTGTACTGGATGGGAGAAGTCAGTGCTCCCTGACTACAGTCCTTTGCAGGTTTTTTAACCTTCCAAGGAAATAATGTTTTTAAAGCATCTCTACCTTTCCTCCTGCAACCATCAGTTTAGGAATGATAAAATATAACTTAAATGTACAACTAGAATATTACCATTCAGCTGTTAGCGTGGTAACTCAAACAGTGTTTAAAAGGGTACAGAGATTTTTGGTTTCACTTGATGGGATATACTTTTCCAAGTACGCCATTAGTTCCTGCATAGAGTGAGTCTACAGGAACGGTATCTTGTCCTACAAATTTTCTTCCTCATTGCACATTTTGGGCTTATCTTTGTTGGAAAATTGTGTTAGGCTTTAATGTCATCTGAAAGATATGTGGTGACTCCTAATATTTCCTAGCAGCTAATGTTAAACCACAGGCAGCTTGGAGAAGGGTGATTGGTGTTGTCTGCACAGAGATAAACCTGACACACAGCTCACAGGGGCTGCCTGGGACTAGCAGGTTGTGCTGAATGTGGCGTAGTCTTTCTGCTGAGAATATTACAGGGTTTTAAATGCTGTGCTTTTCTGAAATACCGGGGTAGGCAATATTCTCGTTCTTTTGAATGAATGAGAGTATACATTCAAGCTACATTTAAAAGATGTCCTTAACATTTGTTATGCTCGTGGCTTTGTTTAACTCTGCTCAGCTGTGGCAATGAACAGTAGCTCCCGTTCAGTAAGCAGGAGGCTAAAAGACTTTTTTTTTTTAATCTCTTAGACTTTCTCTTAAGCTTTTTTAGAAATCCACGTTTCAGTGATCTTTGCAACTGAGGCATGACATAGGGCAAATACAGAAATACTATTTTTTGACTGAGAAAGCTAGCTAAAATGTGAAGAATGTGAAGATAACAAAGTGTATGTGAGCATGGTCACAATCTCCCATATGGTATAGAACCACAATGTCTTTATTCCTGATTTTCATCTTCTCTTGGATAGGGACCATAGGCTGGTTTTTTTCCTTTTTAGAACTTAGGATACCGTCTTTGAACTAGGTGCAAATAATGGATTTTAATTACCAGTGACTAACATATAAGTACCATATTGGAATTAAGAAATACAAATACATAATCGTAAAATCTGTACTTGGCATAACAAGCATAGCTTACAATATGTGCTCATAGTGATCAGCTGAGTTGTTTGCCTTCCAGTTTGAGTAGTGTTCTTGGAGATGATGATGAGCATACTGTTATGAGAAATAGGTCCTTGTTTGTTATGATTTCAGTGTAAAGACTCAGGTGTGTGATTTATCACCCCCCCATACCTGTGACAGGGAAGTTCAGATGAGATGTGAGAGACTGCTTACTGAACTGGTGCAAGTTTGTCCCTTCTGCGTTTCGCTTGCTCATATTCCGTGTGTAAGAGAAGAGCAGGGTACAAGGAAGGCCGTTCTGAAAGATTGTAATAGAGGAAGCTTCAGTTCTACAATAAAAAAGTTGTGGTGTGTTGGTGATTTTCTGGTGTGTTTTTTTTTTTTTTTTTTTTTTTTTTTTTTTTTTGTTTGTTTGTTTTTAAGCCCATCTGCTTTTAAGTTCTATTTAAAGACATCAGATAATGTTTTAGGTACAAACGATTTTGTTGCGTTGTCTAGAGGAAGTTCTGTGCCTTTGGTTTGCTTTGCCATCAAAAATGGGAAGAGAGTCCATAGGAATTTTAGAGCAGAGGATGTGTTTTTCCTAACGGATTCAAAAATGTCCATTTATGTGTTTTGTGAATAAAAAAAGTTACAAAAAAAATATTTATTGAATTTCTCATTGCAAATGCTAACCCTTTGTCCTTAAAAATAATACTGCACTTGGAGGGTAGGAATGAAAGCAGATTGTCTAAACGTTGCATGATTTTAGGCAGTGTGTTTAATTCCTGTCCAGTGCTGCTCCATAATGGGGTACAGCTCTTCCTACAGGCTTGCTGGTCAGTTTCTAGGGATGCCAAGGACAGCAAGTGGGACTGTGCTCCCTGGCCTAGGTGCTTGAATCTACCCCAAAGTGAGACTGATTCTGATTTCTGGAATTGTACGAGCAGTGGTGTAGGTGAAGGTATTTTGTTTCTGTCTGTCGCTGGATTTCAGGAAAAGATGGTCCAGTACCATCATGAACAGGGGCTTGTGTAGAGAGAATTTAAAGGGAAGGAAGTAGAATCAGAGCCATTTTCAGCTATCAGGGGAACATGAAAAGCAAGTTACAGTGGGAGGAGGTGGCAGATTTCATGTCTGTGTATTCCTGGAAGTAATTGAGTGAGTAGAAAGTAATGGAGCAGTAAGTATTGGTTGAGTTCCTACGTGGTGCTGGTGCTAAGAAAGGGAGGCCAAAATGGAAAACGGAGCAGGCTGGTGCACTGGGAGATGTGCATGATCTTTCCTTCGAGGTCTTCTGTCTGCTGTGTCTCTTGGGGGTCTGAACTACCTGGAATCAAAAGCAACCTAGCAGTTGGTTGTGGCATGAACAATCACTGTATTTTTCTAAGATTGCACTAATTTTGTTACTAATTCCTGACTCATCCTTTCTGAAATAGCAGATACATTACTGTATTTCATACAGCAAATTAGTTTCTCTAGATTAATAGAAAAGATTAGACTTTCAAATCCACCAGGATATCTGGAGTATAAAATTAACCTGTCCCTGAAGAGTAAAAAGCCATACACCAAAAACATTACATATAAACCATGATTTTGATACGTTCTTATGTAACAATGCTTTCTGATCCATTTTCTTCTAGTCAGATAAGTAACACTGATTTTAAAATAGCAAAGTAACACTTTAGTAAGAAATAATTTTTTAATCTGTTTCTCTTTCAGGGCAATTAAAGCATTTCAGGAGGCGCTTTATGTTGATCCCAGCTTTTGTCGAGCCAAGGAAATTCATTTGCGACTTGGGCTTATGTTCAAAGTGAACACAGACTATGAGTCTAGTTTAAAGGTAGGTTTAAGTCCTTTTAAATTTAATTCACATTTATTACAAGCTGTGATGCATCTTAAAACTTCAAGGAATGTATAAGCACATGGCAGTTAAATACTACCTGCTCTAGGAACACAAGTGCTTCAGTATAAAGTATCTTGGTCTAAGGCTACTATTAAAATAATACATTTCGGGAGGAGGCTGAGAATGTATAGAAAGAGCAAAAAGAAGAGAAGAACTAGCATCTTAGATTTCTTGATATTGTATCCCCCAACCCCCAGCTTCGCTGCTGTAAACGTAGCTCTTAAAAATTGCTAAAAATAAGACATTTAATGCAAAATAATGTTGTCATATCAAATTTTTAAAATATTGCTTCTACTTTTCTAGCAGGTAATAATTCTTTTATTTCCTGATTTGAGGGTCAGCTTCTAAACCAATGATTTCTGGCTAAGCAGTTAGAAATTGTTTGTGTTAATATGGTACTTTGTTTCTTGTATACTCCCTTAAATTTTTTCAATGCTTGCATTCATTTTTGGTCTCTGACTGTAGTCTGTCATTTTGTCTTCCTCCATTACAATATTTTTGTGCACCCGTTTTTTTTCCTTGTGTTTCCTGCTCTATCCCTATGTTCTTTCCTTCCTGGCCTCTGAATTTAGATATATGTGTCTTGGAAAAAGGTGGTGTTCTGTAGTGGAGTTTTGTGTGCTGGAACATACACCTGCAGGGCTGAGAATTTTATAATTTGTAATTGAGTAATTTCTGCATATTTGTCTCCAACAACTACTGAAAACATGTTTTCTTTTCAAGACTCTTTTGGCTTCCTTTTTCTAGCAGAGTTTGTTGTTCTAAGTTGGATTTGTGAGGCTATCAGAACCACATTGTCCAAGATTTGAAAGTATGACTGTTTTTCCTTTCAATATTTTAAATAATTGGAAGCATGTCTCATCAGGCTTCCTTCTTCTCATCCAGAGTTTCCACCTGTAAAGATAGGTGGAGTTGGAAATAGTAAATAGAAAGGATGATATTGCATAGGAGTAGGGAAGATTCAGTGCAATGAATGGCAAAAGAGAGCAAGTGGAAGTAGAGTTAGATCGCTGTGTTGGGAAAGGGATTATGTGCAAGTTTAGGTGGTCCTATTTCCTTATGCTTTGGCATGGATTTACTGTCGGCTGTTGTGCTGCAATGGGGGGTTAAAGAGGTGCTGAAGAAGTAAATTCTGTTTTTATTTTTAAAGAAGTCTTGGGGACAAAACAGAAGACTAAATTTACAAGGAGACAGTAAACTTGTCATCAAGTAGGGGAAGAAACTTCTACATTTTAATTTTTAATAGAAGAAATTGATTAAGAAATAATCTATTCTTGTGCCATGGAATTTGTAATGCTATCACTGAATCAAGTATTTAAATAGCTGTTATGAAAATTCAGTGTAAATAATTTACTGTGTTTGATCTTCACAACTTCACAAAATAAGATCATCACTTGTCACAAGGATTTTGAGTATACCAAACTTTTCATTTTCAGTATACCAACTACAAATGGTAAAAACACCAAAGTAGTACTTTACAAACAGAAATAAATTAATCTTTTGTAATGCAAAATTGTCATGGTTCCATTGCTTTCATGTGCAACATGACTAAATCAGTTAAAAAAAACTATAGGAGCAACAAAAGATCTTAGCCTGGTGCAGAGTGAAGATCTTCAAAAGGATGATGACATAAACATGATTTGGGGGTGGGGGTGTTGCATTAAGGATAGTTTCACATTGTTCTTCGAGCAGTATAACTGCAGGTTGTTGCTAAAAGTTTGTCTCATTTTCCACCTTGCAATCCTGATTGCATTGTTCAGCACCTTCTGCTGCACTGAACCAAATGATATATCTATCTATTTATTTATTTATTTTTTAAATCCCATTTGCAGACTGAGGTGCGCCAGGTGTCTGAGCCAGCTCAACTTGAGATTACCCAGTTGCTAGGTCCAATGCACAGTAGAGAGCAGGAGCATGTGAACAGGAAGGAGAAGGTAGAGCTGGTTCACCCCCTTCCTGTGCAGGACGTGACTTGAAGCTTTGCTCTGGAATTTCCAACTTCAACACCTCAGGCAGAGTTTCTGGTTTCCTTCCTTTGCTATGGAGGTTGCAGTCCTTAACAGAGAACAACAATGAGGAGCAAGAGAGAAAAGATCCAGTGGGGCAACCCTCTCAGTCTGGGAAGTTTCAGCTGTTTCCAGTTCAGCCCAGCTGTGGATTGAATGTAGAGTCCTGAGACTGGTCTGCCTTGTTTGAAAGCACAGTACTACTGGTTGAAACATATTATCTTATACATCAGTATATAGCATTTGAAGAACAGACTAAGCAGAAAAACAGAACAATTGCTTCTTTAGAAGCCAATCTGACTGATCCCTGAGTTGAAGTTTAAAAAAACCCCTTAAGCTAAAACTCTGTGAGTGTCAAGAGTACGAGGCAAGCCAGAAAATAGTCCCATAGTAAAGAGAACAAAACAAAGTGGTTATGCACAAGTGTGGGAAGAACAAAATGAGGAAGAGATATGATGAAAGGGTGCAAAAGGATGTTTCCACAGTGTTTCATTCTCTGAGACTGAGTATCTTGTCTCTTCACAGACCAAAGGATAAGTAACATTGTCTTGTTGCAACTTTTTTTGGGTTTGTGGAGCTTTTTAAAAGGTTCCAGGATTTTAGAGGATGATGGTGTGAAGTTTAGTATCCAGCCTGCTAGTGACTGGCCTTGAGAACAGGCTCTCTCCCCGGGGTTCTCTGAAACTCAGTTCATAGCCCAGTTTGAGCTCCCTATTCAACACCAGGGCAGAAAGTGGAAGTAAATTTTCATCTGCTCTTTGCTTTTGACAGTTCTGGATTTCACAGATTGTACCAATGTTGCATTAGTGTACTTTGAAATATCATAATGTTTTTGAAGATATTTAAACATTCATGTTAAGTCTGTAATTGCTAAGAATAAACCTTTGCCAACAGATGAGTCATTGTCAGTAAGAGTCTTCAGGCAAAGGGGGAAGATGGGAGTCTGAAGGTCATATATTCCATGTTTTTCACAATTTTAGAGCATTAACATAAATCATCTATATTTTATGTAAGCAATTTAAGCACAAAATTAATTTTTACTATTTTAAGATGTTGATGATCAAGATAATTACTTGAGTGCTGTTTAACAAGCATAAAATCAACTCTCAATGTTTTTTTCAAAATCAATTACTGCTTTTGCATGTTTTTAACATTGCTGAAGTTAAGACTTGCAAATTACTGTAAGAACCCTTGACTACTCTGTTATCCCGTTGCCATAAACTCTGGCAAGAATACCAGTGCAGTTGAAAATTACTTGGACTTTGGGCTTACATTAAGGGGGGAAATAAAAAAAGTGACCCTTCTAGTTGAAAAGAAAGCATTCCTTCTGTAACCTGACAGTTAGGGCAGTGTTACCTTTAGAAGCAATGCATGAAAGCTGAATTTGCCCCAGCCATCAGAAAAGTACAATTAATTCCAAAATCAACTGGCAGTGACTTGGGCAGGGTAGATTTTATAATTGATTTTATAGCAGCAATGTACTATTAAAGTTTACCTCACTGTCCTCACCTTTCCATGCTTCACTGCATATCCCGCTGTCCCCTTCCTGTTTGCTGTTTGCTATTCCTACTACACTAGGAAGACTGTTCATTGGTGGCAGCTGTGATGGCACTATAATAGTCTGAAAGAAAAATAAAGCAAGATCTCTAGGAATAGATAATATATCTTTCTATTGATTTGATAAATGTGTTGGGAAAAATATTCACCCTTCTGAGTACATACCACAGTATTTCTGGCATGTGACTTGCTATCCTAGTCGTTTTCCTATTTAGTGTATATATATTTTCAATTTTGGCCTCCTTTTGTCATTCACAGCATCACAGAATGCTTTGGGTTGAAAGGGACCATTCAACCCAAGAACTAGTCAGAGCATGAAGGGGGAGCCGAGTGTGCTGTGTGGGACCACTGGCATGTGTAAACAACTAGCTGAGGAAAAAAAGCAAAATTACAGCTTTGGTATTATGTAGTTTAATGTTTGGGCTACGTTGGGAAGGGCAGCCATGGGAAACCAGTCTTCCGCCTGGTGGTTGTTTTGCGTGGTGGCACTGAAGTTTCGGCGTGTGATTTTGGTGGGGAGTTTGGGCTGCAGTCCTGGAAGCCTGATGAATGTAAAACAGTTCGCTTCCATTGTTTGCTGACTGGCTACTTGAGGGAAAAGAAGGCGTCTTGGTTTCTCATATTTATTAGAATTATGACATTGAGGGAATGGTGGTTGGAAGTTACTCTGTGGATTTGTGTTTGTGAGGGCTTTGTTTTGCTCGTGTGTGTATGTGTGTTTGTTTTTTTCTGGCGGTAGATTGTTTTATGGCAAACCAAGCTACGTTGTGCTAAATTTTGTTTGGATTGGGAGATGTGGGGTGGGAGGTTAGTGTTTTGTGGCGTGTGTGTGGTTTTTCTTTTGTTTTTATATATATTGCAGATGCATCCTGTACTTAGCAACAAAACCCTTAGAAGATTGAGAATTAAGTTTCTCAGGTTTTCTGTTATCTGCTTACAGTAGAAATACTGATTCTGATTTTCACTTTTAGAAATTTTTCCTCCTTATTTAAACAGAAAACAACTATCCTAGTAGTTTGCTTCAGGCCTATGCTTTGATTTTGCTCATAAAACATCAATTTAAATATAATTTAATTTTTAAAAAATTTTCGTAAAGGTTCTCGTTTGTGAGTAATGTTAAGATATACTGCTTATATTAGGATAAAAAAAAGGCTATGAAAGAATTAGAATTTATTGAGAAAATGTGCATGAATTACATGAATATGCATGAGGTACTAAAAAATGAAATACTGATACACAGATGAACAGCTCAAAGTACTTCCTTATAGTCAGTCAGACAATTCTCATCACTTACTTAAATAATTCTCCTGTTTATATATAAATCTTTATGAAAGATATTTTTAGCTATGGTAGCTATTGTATGCCAACATGTAG